AGTGCTCTTGTTTTTCTTACCAATTGATGTATTGAAGACATCTATGATTTTATTCTCATTAATTATGAATACTCTCTCTTTTCCGTAGTTTTCTTTCCATTGTATTCATGATCTTAAATACTATTGATTTTGTACTACATGTTGGTGGCTCATGACTATAATCCTAATTATTCAAGAGTCTAAGCTATAAGGATTGTGGTTCAAACCCAGCCTGGGCAGAAAAGTCCATAAAATTCTTACTTCCAATTCATTAGAAAAAAGCTGGACGTGGAAGTGTAGTTTAAACGGTAAAGCATCAGCTTGAACAAAATGGAGAGACTCAGGTCCTTAGCTCAAGCCCTACTACTAGCAGGAAAAAAAAATACACACACACACACACACATACACACACACACACACACGCACACACACAGAAGCTTTTTAATTATACAACTATGTTTATATGCACACCTTTGTTTGTATTATTAAATTTAACCAACCTTAAAAAATCAACATAATGTTGGTTTTATATCAGTGAAGCTTAATTTTACTACAAGGACCTAAAGAAGGTCTCTAGTCCTCCTTTTTCTTTAGCTCATTCCATAGGTCTGTAGTGTAGAGTTATAGAAACTTTGTTCCAGTTAGTTGGCTGCAATATGTGGAATAGTTTGGAATGGTTACTAGAATAACAATCTGAGTTAGTAATAGTCCTGTATTCAGGGGAGAAACAAAATTCTGTCTTTTGGAAGGAAGGAAGCTAGACTCTCATTTTAACACCTAAAATGGGAGTTTGGGCTCTATTTCCTTCTATGTTTACATTTCAGAGTTGATTCCAAGATCTGGAATACACTTTAGGCCTTCAGGCTGTCAAAAGGCCTATTTGGTTTTAAGAGAACATGCATGCATCTCATAGGGAAAGAAAAGTACTTCTAATTATAAATTTCAAAACTAAATGCTTCAGGGGAAAGGAGGGAGGGGAATAGCTTGTGCTTTTAACTTAGAGAACTAAACCTCTAATTCAAAAGTATGTTCACTACTTTTCTTACCCTTTTGTGCTCATCTTAGGAGCAGGTTCATCTTTGTAATCTCATGGTAGAAATGCGATAAACAGTGTGACCTAAATGCACTAATAGTTTAGTTTTATTTCATTTAAATAAATAATTATTATTGTTTTGTCTTTGTGAAAACATTTAGAATGGTTAAATTCTACATAACTAATTGGGCTTTCTGCAAAGGAGACCTCAGCGGGCGTTAGCAGCTTATCAGCCAGGAAGAGGTGAAAATGTGACAAAGAATACATGACAGATTAATACAAGCATTTGGTTTCTGAAGTCAGACTTTTTTTTTTGTTTTGTTTTGAAATTCTGCCAGTATTTAAACTTTAAAGTTGCCTACAATTTACTTTAACAGAATTGGGGCAGTGACACATAATTTGATTGTAATTTTTGTATAGTAACTTTCATGATTCTGATGAAGTTATGAGGATATAGCCAGTAATTACCTGGGTAAGATCTTGATGAGTTTCCAGTTTTCCCTCACTTCCTTAATGTCCCCTGCCAACTAGCTGTAAACATTTCCCTTTCATTGATCCCATTACTGATCTCCTGTGCTTTTGAAGGGCCCCCAAGGCCCAAACTTCCTTTCCTATAGGTATGACCTTAGGTGTTCCTTCACCCTTGCAGCATCTCTGTTCACTTTCCTTTCTGTTAAGCTTCACTTCACACACCTACTGGGCTCTGCCTTTGCTCTCTGAGATGGAATTTTCCATCAGCCACTTCCTCCTTGAAGGGGGGGGAAGGGAGGGGAGGGCTCCTCTCAGTGCACCCACATTGGACATAATTGTCACTAGTCGAACATGACCACGTACAGGCATTTTTAGCAGGCAGGAGTGACAGACCCTCTTTTCCCCCCCTGCTGTGGTGTCCTTCACTTCACCTTGAGAAAAGGTTAACAGATATTTACAGTTCACTTGGTCACCTTGACCTACCAGGCCTTATGACCTGAATGAACACACACTTAGCTCTTTCTGTTACATGCTGTGTCTGGATTTCTTTTGAATTTGCTCTTGGTAGAGTGAGAGCTTTTTTTCTTTTTAAATTACATTCTGAATTTAAGTGAAAAGTAATAACTGCCTGGGTGAACATTTCTCAGAAAATATGCCCTTTACTCCTTGCTTCATCCCCTTACCATCCCCCTGTGAGTTGTGGTGTTGTTTTTATTTTAATATTATTGGTGCTTCTAGCCTTCTTCAACTTGACTGTTCTGAGATTACTGTAGAAAACAACCTTTGACTCTTTCCTGTGCGGGTGTATGGAAAGAGAGTATCAGTATTTAGAATACTAAAGCCATCACCATATGGCATTTGTGATGTTCTTGTTGGAAGTCTCTGTATAAAAATGAGGATTGAAAATTAATTACATAAATTACTAAGCTTTGAAAGATACTTGCTGGGTTTCTACTTCCAGATAACTGTTTCACAAAGAGTGCCTTGCCTCTAGTAAAGAGAACAGAAATCCAATTACTAAGATTGCCATCTCCACTCTTTCATGTTAAATAGACCACAATTTCTAAAGCCATAGGCCACATGCTCCTTACTAAGTAAGCAGTATTCCCTGTCACCCAATATTTTAAGAAATATAAAATGATTTTGAATTTAGAGACAATACCTAACATCAAGAGAGGTTCCCCTTCCCCCATCTCATTAAGATTTAAAATTTTTTCTCTTATTCTGCTGCATGGCTCTGAGTTATTCTCAGCCAATATCACTTGAACCTTTCCTGGCCATTGAGTTATTTTCCTCACAGAATGGAACATGGGTGGTTATACATGTAAGCTCTGTGTGTGGACACAGATTGGACATGTCCCCTCACTTGAATCAGGCAGCTACTGATTCAACTTGTCACAATATAGACACCAGTGAAGCTGCTACTGGATAACCCTCCTAGAATCTGCCTACCCCACAGCCTTCCCACAGTGGTCTGAGTAGATGAACGTGGATTAGAGAAGTATGTGAAGGCCATAATGCCTTCAATTGTGCTGTTGATAAATAATGGGTTGTTTATCTTAATTGGCAGGTGCCTTAAAAGATTCAAAGGCTGTCTGTGAATGAGAGTGAACACCCTTTTTTGTTTCCTCAGTGCCTGATTTTCTGTGTACTGTGAGGGCATCTTGGAAAAATTTCTGAACTGTCAAATAATGAGTAAGTTTGCAGCAGTTGTCTTTGTAAATTTTTCAGATAGGCCCTTTAACTAGAACCCGGTATTAGATAGTGGTGTGTCTGTCTACTTGGGTGTTTTTTGTGCCCGCAAAGGGAAAGGAATAGAGAGAAAGTTGAAGCCTGGAAGCTTACCACCTAATTGTGTAGGACCTTAAATAAATAGCTTAAATAAATGCAACTTCATGTCTGGTTGACTGTGTCTAGCACCAGGGAGATGCTGTGAATTCAAGTAGAAATTTGTGCACTGGGAAAGGTAGTAGGAATCACATGCACAGCAGGTCAGAAGATAGAGATGGGTGATGGAGAAACACCAGGGTGGCAAGAGGAAGCAAAATAAATTGCATTTCGGTGGCGCAAACACTGTGTTTAAAGGTTTGAGGCATGAGCAGCAGTGGGGCTTTTAGAACATTACATTGTACAGTAAGGCTGACATAAAGCACTGTAGGAAAGTCTAGTCGCTGAGCATCCCAGGCTCTGTCTCTCAGAAATTAAATGCCTCCAGGACATGTAATTGTGGCCAAAGAGAACATGTGTTTTCCTCTTTTTGTGTCCTGTGCTCAGATGTTCTCCACATTACACAGAATGTCAAAAGAGCCCAAATCAATTGTTGCTGTGGTTGGATATAAAGATAGCTGCTTTGGTTATGTGGGAAGGGTAGTAAAGTGGGCTCTACCTCTCTCTGTATGTGGTCATTGTGCTAGTAACATTTCATGAAAAGTAAGGTGTAAGAATAGGACTCGTCATGAAAAGACCCTGCATTTGTCCAGAGTGAAGTAAGGTTTTGACAATGACTCCTGTTTTTGTGACTCCTAGGAAAAGAAGGTGAGAAAGCCAAGCGACTTTTGGTCTCATACTGGCAGATAAATATGCTGGATTTAATAATGGTGATTTAACATATATTGTACAAAATATTATATTTTTACTTTGGTTATTTTGTTATTTATGACAAGATTTCACTATGTAGCTCAGACTGGCCTTGAACTCACTTTGTAGAGCAGGCTAGTCTCTATCTTCTGAATACTGGGAACACAGGCATGTTCTGCTTTGCTAGCTTTTTAATTTTTTTTCATGTGAATTCCTGACACCATTGTCATTTTGACTCACTAGAGTCAAAGTTAAGATCATTGGTTAAACAGTTAAATCCTATAAAGAGGAGCAAAAGCTTGAATCAAATTTATACTGCTTCAGTTTATAAAAGAAGATTGAATTTTTAATGTGGTAGAGAATTTACAATCAAGGCAATTTTCAGTTGAGCTATTGAACTTAAATATTATGAAGTGGTACACAAATGGACTTATTTTGGAAACCAATAAAATTCATCTTTCTTTTTTCATAAATTTTATTGTACATTTTAAAGATTCATATGATATTAAGAGATTCATATAGATATATAGTAAAGCAGTTACTGTTGTAAAAATCCAAAATATAGGGCTGGTGGTATCTTAGTTGCAAAATGTGGCCCTGAGTTCAATCTTCAGCACCACAAAAAGTAAAGAATAAGAACAAAAAGAAATATATTCAATACAATATGCTATTATTAACTGTACTATCTGTAGTACTCTTGTACATCAGATGTTTATGCTTGGTCATCCTACAAATTTGCTGCTTTGTATCTCATATTACTATAGAACAGAATTCAGCTATAAGAAATACGTGTGTGTGCACATGTATGCATAGCTCATGTATGGGTGTGCACAAACTCATATGTATACCTGTCAGGGCTGGAGGAAAGTAAGTATGTACCTAGCAAGCTGGATATACCTAAATGATACCTTAATTAGAAATAATTTATTTTATTTTTTAGGTGCTGGTGAATCTGGGAAAAGTACAATTGTGAAACAGATGAAGTAAGTCAATTTAAACTATTGATTTTTAAAAAAAAATCTAATTGTACCCTCTGTCAAAGAAGTGAATGATTTTTTTCTTTGATCTCCTTAGAATTATTCATGAATCTGGTTATTCGGAAGAAGAATGTAAACAGTACAAAGCAGTGGTCTACAGCAACACCATCCAGTCAATTATTGCTATCATTAGGGCTATGGGGAGGTTGAAGATAGACTTTGGTGACTCAGCTCGGGCGGTAAGTTATCAGAGTTGTTGTAGTAGGCCTGATGAATAAAAAGAATTACTCATGTGATAAATACCATACAAAACAGTATAAGCTTGTCAGTGATCAGGAATGTTTTATACAAGTAGCCAAAAGGACAGAAGTGAGTCAGGATCCTTAGATGATAGTGAAATCAGAATATACAGAATCGTGTACTCCCTTTTATATTTACCCAGCCCATCAGGTGATTTGGATAATTTAGTAATCACTGTCATATGTTCTGTAACATGTTTTATTGGTGTAATAATCACGTCTCTTTACAGTGACATAGTATCTTAGCAAAGTGACCTACAAGGAGGAGAGGGTCAGATTCACAGTTTCAGAGGTTCCAGTCTATGGTCAGCTGACCATTGCTGTGAGCCAGAGGCAAGGCTGTGGAGTGAAGAAGTGGCTCACTTTATGGCGAACAGGTGGCAGAGAGAAAGACTGGAAGGGGAAAAAGTTAAGAGAAACCCTTCAAAGACAAGCCTCCAATTTCCTATTTCCCCCAGCCAGACACACCCACTATGAACTCATTGGTAAGGTTAAGTATCCTCATGATCCATGTATCAGTGCTAGTAGATGGGGAGACTAAAACATTGACACATGACCTTTTGATGTCATCTCATAGCCAACCATAATGATTGTGTTTTGTTTTATATATTTTTTGTATATATATATATATATATATATATATATATATACATATATATATATGTATACACACTTATGAGAAGAACAAAGGTAGACAGTTTTCACTTATAGGCATGGGAGTTTCAGTTCTTGTTTGCTGGCCTGTTGGTATTAGGCCTGGGGAAAGGCAGTACACTATGTTCAGAGCATGTAGTATGGGAATCTGCTCACCTCATGGTCTCTAGGAAGCAGTAAGTGAGAAGGGAAGAGACTAATGTTCTATGATCCCATTTGAGGGCATACTCACAGTAACCTGTGACATTTTACCACTTTTCCAATGTTCTGCCATCTTCCAGTTGTCAGTAGTTTGGGTAGTAGTAGTTTGATCCTTCATCCAAGATAGGCATCAATGCCTCATACCCATGATTTAGCTACTATGGAAAATGAGATTTGAGAATTTCCATTCAAAGGCAGCCTGGGAAGACAGATCCTTGAGACTTTTCTCCAGCTAATCAGCAAAACCAAGCAAAAAGTAGAGGCATGGTTCAAGTGGTAGAGTGGCCAGCTATGAGTGAAAAAGTTAATAAGAGAATGAGGCCTGAAGTTCAAGCACATTTTTTTCTTTTAAATAAAAACCATATGTATCAGGGGCTCTTTGGAGATAGCCTGGTTCCATTCTTTATTTTCCTGGTAAAGAAATTGGAGCCTGCAGATTTCATGGTGAGAGGAGTACAGTCCAATTAATCAAGGCTCTGTGCCTTTGATTCATTAGTTGTCCCAACATTGTGTTTTTAGTTTGATTGGAGGCTTTCCTGGTCTTAAGATGCTGTGTTTTCCTTCTTTTTCTTCATCCCTTGTTTGTTGTGTAATCTATTTATTCCAAGTTTGTTATTCATTTCTGGGCCTCTTACTCTCATATAGTAACTGATTAAAACTTGACCTCAAGAAATACTGAACCCTAGCATAAATTTAGAAATTTTTTGGTACAGGTTAGATATTCTATTATTGCAGTTCATTTTTATCATTCCTTAATATTTTATGCATTTAATATGTGTATGTAATCTCCCTACTAATACTATCAAGATTTTCTATTGGTTGACTTACTTTTTCCATTTATCCAAAAGTATAAAACAATGTGATTAAAATATCCACCACTTCAAGTTCTCTTTTAAAATAAAATGAATAAATTTTAATATGATGTTGTGGAATCATATAATAAAACATTTCACACAGAGTTTCTTCTTTGACAAGGGCAGCTAAAGTCTTACTTAACAAAAATTCATATTAGGACTGTGGGTAGATTGTTTTGCCTAGTATGCACAAGGCCCGGAGTTTGATTGCCAGTACTAAATATACATATATTCATATACCTAACACAATTTTATTTTATTAACAACAATCTTTAGGTTGTCAAAAAGTCAAGGTAACAAATCTTGCTAAGGGTATGAAGCAAAAAGAAGAAAAGGAACCCCACTAAACTGTTGGTGATAATATAGATTGGTCCTTTCTTTATGGAAAACAGTAGAAAGATTCCTAAAGGAAAGATTCCTAAAAGGAGATCTAATATATGATCCAACAGTCAGGCCCAAAGAGTTCAAAGTCAACACCCTATCACCATATCCACACTTCCATATTTGTTGTATATTCAGATAGGGAGACAGTGAGCCTAAATGTCGGCCAATGGATGGATACTTTCCTGTCATTCTAGTTTTTATTTTTATTATTTTATTTTTATTTATTAATTTTTTTGTCGGTCGTGTGGCTTGAACTCTGGGCATTATCCCTGTGCTCTTCAGCTCAAGGCAAGCGCTCTATCGCTTGAGTCACAACGCCACTTCCATTTTTTTCTAGTAGTTAATTGGAGATGAGTCTCACTTGACTTTTCTGCCCGGGCTGGCTTTGAACCGTGATCCTCAGATCTCAGCCTCCTCGTAGCTAGGATTATAGGCCTGAGCCACCTGCGCCCAGCTTTGTTTTTGTTTTTTTAATCACCCCTGGGGCTTGAACTCAGGTCTTGAGCTATTTTGCTCAAGGCCAACACTCTACCACTTGAGCAACAGCTCCACTTCTGGATTTTTGGGTAGTTAATTGAAGATAAGAGTCTCAAGGACTTTCCTGCTTGGTCTGTCTTGGAACCAGAGTTCTCAGATCTCAGCCTCCTGAGTAACTAGAATTATAGGTGCAAGCGACTGTTCTTGGCTTGTCCTTCATATTTTATATCATATATTTCTGTCTTTGTTGACAGAGGTTCTATTATACTTACAAAGAACACATAAATAATAAATATTTCTTGATTCTATTAATATTATATACATATATCTCTAAAGTTCATAAGCATGAAAGTTGTATTTGTGTTTAATACATATTTCAATAATTTCTGCTTGTGATAAAATAAAACTTATGGTTCATGCTAAATTTGTTGCAGAGTACTAGATTTTTTTCTTTGCAATTTAGTTAAAATTACTTATTTTTAGGTCCCACTTCTTTTTAAAAAAAAATCTTAAGGGAAAGATAAACATGATTGCCTGTTTCCTTGTCTTAAGCCATTGTGTGTGTGTGTGCGTGTGTGATTTTAGAGATGGTGTTTCATATTTACATATTTCCTAAAGTAAATCCTTCATTGTCTAAGTTTGACTTCATGAGCTGTGGGTGGATTGTGGAGTCCACTAAAGTTCCTGAGGAATGCCTTCAGGGTGAACTGACTTTGACGAGGGGCTTGAAATATGAAGGAATGTATTTGTAGAATGGGGGAGATATTCATCTTGTTATTTCTTTTTTCCTTTTCTTCTCCCACTGTTTAAATTTTTTCTCTTTATTTGACCTCTGTGTTTTTTATTTTTGCTTTTTTTTCCAGGGGGACAGTTGGAGAGGGGACCTGGAAGAGATTATGTTAAGAGAAATGAGCCAGATACAGAGAGGGAAAAATATCTCATGATCTCACTTATATGTGAAATCTAAAAAAAAACCACGGAGACATTTTTGAATGCCACGAAGTATACAGTTTATAAATCCACCCTCTGAAGTCTTTTTGGTTTTTCTTTAGACTCCTTCCTAGAAAGTTTGAAGAGACTATGATTTGATGACCTGTAATGAAGAGTATTAGTCTTCACTGTCAAAAAGTTATTGAAAGCTCACTTGAAAATCTACTTAAGCTGGGTGCCGGTGGCTCATGCCTGTAATCCTAGCTACTCAGTAGGCTGAGATCTGAGGATTGAGTTCAAAAACAACCTGGGCAAGAAAAGCTGAAAGACTCTTATTCCAATAAACCATCAGAAAACCAGAAGTGGCTCTGTGGCTCAAGTGCTAGCCTTGAACTGAAGAGCTGAGGGACAGTGCTCAGGCCCAGAGTTCAAGCCCCATGACTGACCGAGAGAGAGAGAGAGAGAGAGAGAGAGAGAGAATACTTACTTGAAAAGTACTTTATTTAAAGGGAGAAGTTATGTTTGGTATAGTTTAAGAAAAGTAGTCAACCTTAGAACTTTCTCATGAGAAGGTAATTATCTGCAAAATTGAATGATTTTTTACTGCAGTTGCATTAATGATGCTAAGAAGGACTGATGAACATAAGATACAGGGTTTGTTAAGGATATTGTGCACGTGTTGCTGGCTTGCATGCATTTCTCTTGTGGTTTACTAAAAAGGGAAACATATGCTTGAATAATATGTTCTCATGCTGAGAGACTTAATTATTTTTCCTGATGAGTTCCAGCTGAAAAGAAAACGTTTCACAAATTGGCAACAAGATGAATTCATATTGTCAGCTAGTGCATTCAGCTCTCCAGTGTCACCAAATGCAAGGTCTCTTCTAGATACTTAATCGTACTATGTTTCATCACTACAAGAATCTACTGCTATTCTTGGGGGATTGGCTCCAAAACCCTCAGTAGATAACCAGCTTTTGAAAATGCCCAAGTCTATTGTATAAATTGGCATAGCATTTGCATATGATCTACACATAGCACATCTTCCTATATCCTTTAAATACTTTAAATATACCTAAATACAATGTAAATAGCATGCAAGTGGTTATCATTCTGTGTAATTTAGGGAATCATGACAAGAACATATTGTGTACATCTTCGGTTTAGATACATTTTCCTCCATATATTTTTTATGTTAAGAATCCATAGATGCTAACCCCATAGATATCAAAAGGGCAACTGTACTTTGGAAGAATGTCCTTTCAATAACTATGGATTAGTCATTGAATTAACATAGGATGATGAGACCTGTAGCTTTATGTTAATTGAATGGAACTGTTCCAACTGTGAAAGGAACAACTTTTCTTTTTCCTGTCCTTCCTTCCTTTTTCCCTTCTCCCTTTTCCCCTCCTTTCCTTCTTCCCTCCTTTCCTCTCTCCCTCCTTCCCCTTCATCCACCTATCTGTCTGTCTCTCTGTCTCTCTATATATGTCTGTCTGTCAGTCATCTGGAGGCTGTAGAGTTGTTTTATCAAGAAAAAGTAGCTGCTATCTACATGTCACTTTGGAGTACTTAAAATGGGTGCAGTCCAAATGAAGATGTGTTGAATGTATAAACTACACAATTTTGAAGAATATGTATATATACATATATTTGTATATATGTATAAGTAGTGAATTATCTAATATTAAGTTTACATTGATTCCATGTCAAAATAATATTTTTGTATATTGGTTAAATAATTATATTAAACTTAATTTCATATGAGTTTTCATTTTTATTTTCTTTTCATATGAATGTTTGAAAATTGGGATTGCCTTTAGTGACTCATATTTCTGCCTGACAAAACTGATGAAGAATAGTTGATCACTTGTGAATCAGAATAACCAAATGTTAGAAGCTTCAACACAAAGCAAAATTGAATTAACTTTATTTTATCATCTAGAAATGTTTACAGGTTATCCTCTCAACATACTGTGAAGAGGTCTACTCCTAAGTTATGCTTATTTTGTTCTCTATGCCTGAGTTAGTAAATACCTGCTCCTGTCATAAGTTTAATATGTATATTCTTCAAGTTCTCCAAGTACTCTAAGATTATTCTGTAAGTCTGCTTACTCCACATTGTCTTCTCCCTTCTTTTAATTATTTTGCACCTATAATACATATCAGAAAACCAACACTTAATTACATTCTACAACATTTACTTGCATTCTACTTTTAGAAAAGCTATAATGGTATTTAGATATGGTGTTTCTTGGATTAAAAATATTTTTAGGATGGAAGTTAGCTATAGATTTTTTGTTTTCTCAAAACCATCATTAGTTTCCCTCCCTTTGCATGTTACAATTTAGTGATTCTTTCAGCTTCCTAATGCCATACAACATACATAAAATTCTTGTGATTGATGATCATGCAGTTTTTGGTTTAGCCAGTTTTTAAAGTGCTGCTTTTGAAAAAGAAAAGCTATGACACATCTATAAAACACGTAAAGATTGGGGCTGGGAAGGTGGCTCAGTGGTAGAGCGCTTGCCTTGCATGCCTGAGGCCCTGGGTTCCATTCCTAGAAAAAAGCCGGAAGTGTCGCTGTGGCTCAAGTTGTAGAGCACTAGCCTTGAGCTGAAGAGCTGAGGGACAGCGCCCAGCCCAGAGTTCAGTGCCCACCACCGAACCCAAAAAAAAAAAAAAACACGTAAAGAAACTTCCCTTTTACATACTGATTTTTTCTCTAACTTCTCTGTATTGTCTTTTTAAAATCTCTAATCTCTTCCTTTCCTTTCTACATATTTTGTTTTCAAATGTTCAGGATGATGCCCGTCAACTCTTTGTGCTTGCTGGAGCTGCTGAAGAAGGTTTTATGACTGCAGAACTTGCTGGAGTTATAAAGAGATTGTGGAAAGACAGTGGTGTACAAGCCTGTTTCAACAGGTCCCGGGAGTACCAGCTTAATGATTCCGCTGCGTAGTAAGTAATCATAACTTCAGAACCAAACTATGGTGAATAATGACTTGCAAATCAAACAGACCTACAAGCCAGTTTTATTGCAGACTTGACTGACATTTTCTTGGTACAACTCAGATATTAAGGGTGACACAATTTGAAAGCTGTGTGTGTGTGTGTGTGTGTGTGTGTGTGTAACTATTTTGTCAATGAGATTTCTTTTTTCTTACAATGTGATATGTCATTGTGTATATGGAATTTATAGCACAGATGAAAGTAATGGGGGATTATCATCAACAAAATAAAAGGAGTTTCTTAATTCGGCCATTTCAATACACAGAGAGTATCCTTAATCTAAAAATCCAGAAAATGCAAAAATCTATGATACTTCTGGTTTCAGGCATTTCGGATAAGTTATACTCATCCTGTAGAGGTGACACAGGCTATAATATTTCTATGCCAGTATAGCATCATATCACATACACTTCACTGTAAAACATTTTTAACTCTGTCAAATATTCAGAGATTGAGGAATTATGACAAATAAAATATTCAGAGATTGAGGAACTATCATCATATATAAGCGTGTAGAAGGCCCTTGGTTAGACCTATAGCACTGAAAAACTAACAAACAAAAATTTAAGAACTCCTTTTGTTTACAAGACCCAAACACCACTTTAAATTTACAATAGCTTGTACCTTTGGCAGTGAAACTGATTTTATTTATTTTCAGAGATACTGCATTTGCTTTAGTATTACACAAGGCGGCATAATACTCCCCATGCTCTAACTTAGAATTTATTCTAGTCTTTTCATGTGAGATAGTATATACTCCCTTGGGCTTAGTTTCCCAAGAATTAAGACATGACCATTCCTGTCTTCATTCTGTTTTATAGTTTCTAAAGTGATTGATATTCCCTATTGCTCACCAATTATTTTGTGTTTATGTTTATACCTCTCATTCATGAGTCCTTCTTTGGTAACTCAGTTCCACATTCTTTTCTTCATACCTGGACTTTCTGTGATTATCATTTCCAAAACTTGACACAAAGTCACTTGCTTTCTTATAATGCATCTTGTGGTACTACTACATTTTTATATCACAGCATAGTTGACAGCATTGTCAGAGTTTTAGATGAATGACTAAGAGCTGTCATTAGGGAGTAAAGGGGATATTTATTTCTAGAGGAGTAGTAGATAGAAGCCACAAGCATGCACTTTTTTCTCACGTGCAACCTAAGACACAAATTCACATTTTACCTGAAGCTTCCTTGTTTTTCCTCCAAAGTTAGGACTTTTAAAATCCTTAAAAATGGCTTGGCGCACTGGTGGCTCACACTTACAATCCTTGCTACTCAGAAGGCTGAGATCTGAGGTTCATGGTTCAAAGTCAGTCTGGGCAGCAAAGTCTGTGAAACTCTTATTTCCAATGAACTACTTAGAAAAATCCAGAAGTGGCTCTGTGGCTCAAGTGATAAAGCTCTAGCCTTGAGCCAAAGAAGCTGAGGGATAGTGCTCAGACCCTGAGTTCAAGCCCTAGGACTGGAAAAAAAAAGAACCTTAACAAAGAAGGAACATATACAAATAAACAGAGTTGCATAAAAAAATATAATGAAGTTTTATGTTTGTTTCAACTCAAGGTTTCTCACTTTTTAGGCAGATGTTTGTATCCTCAAGTAAACCTCCTGCATAGTTTTGCTCTAGGTGGTTTTCAGATAGGGTATGTCATTCTTTACCTAGGACTAGCTTCAGTCTATAATTGGTTTACCTATACTTTTTGGCATAGTTAGGACATGGTTTAGAGTCATTAGCTTGTAGTGACGAATTTTAAGAATTGAACCAGGATATTCATTAGCTTAGGGGTTGTTTATAAAGTTACTGTCTCTGAGTTGCTGTACTTACAAACCAAAGTGTACAAATTAAAAAAAAAACACACTAAAAGATATGTGGCTGGGAAAGTGTGAACATTGTTATTTCACTAGGCAGTGTATGACATAAAAGCTTAATTTGGCTGTTTACACTATTACACAGAACATAAAAAATTTCCAGTGTGTTCAGCTTATCTCATACATTGACAAATGTTTTCGTCTTTGTTTTGGTGATCTTCATTGATTATACTTACTATTAGCATGTTATTTTGATGTTTCTTCAGCTATCTGAATGACTTGGACAGAATAGCACAAAACAATTATATACCAACTCAGCAAGATGTGCTCAGAACTAGAGTGAAAACTACAGGAATTGTGGAAACTCATTTCACTTTCAAAGAACTTCACTTTAAGTGAGTACCTTTCAAACAGGATTTACAAATTCATACTTAAAACACATTGCTTTAGAGGTAAAAGGCATAATAATAAGCATAAGCATACTTTGGGAGCTGGAAAACTTTCCTTAAGTGATTGAGCAACAAATTGGGACAAAAAAAAGCAAAAGGAAGGACTTTAAACGAAGAATATTTTATTTTTCTGGGAGAAAAAATAGGCAAATGCCTTTTGCCTCTAATTGTTACAGTAATGTAAGAAAAAGTAGGGTATTTTCTGTTTTCTTTTTTTTGTTTTTATGTTTAAATAAAAAATATTTCTCTGGCTGGGAAGGTGGCTCAGTGGTAGACTGCTTGCCTTGAGTGCATGAGGCCCTGGTTTCAATTCCTCAGTACCACATAAGTAGAAAAACCCAGGAGAGTGCTGTGTCCCAAAGTGATAGAGCGCTAGCCTTGAGCTGAAGAGCTGAGGGACAGTGCCCAGGCCCAGAGTTCAGGCCCCACAACCAACCAAAAGAAAAAAATTCTCTAATGTACCATAGCAACCTTGGGGAAAACTGCTGTGTGTAATTAGGGAAAAAAAGAGAAAGATTCTTACTTGAGGACTATGTGGTTACTTACGGAAATAATGACAATGAGGGTGTGTTTTTAAAATTTTTCATGGAAATTTTTATTCCTAGCAAGCTGATATTTGCAATGTTTTCTGATGAAAAATATGTATTTGAAGTGTACGGAATATGAGCTTTTTAAGGTCTCCAGAGAGAAACATTGAATTTTAGCTGGCAGCAATGGAAAGAATCTTGAGAGTTCATTTTGCCCTCATTTTATAATAAACCAAACTCACAACTAACCAGTAAATTGTTAGGTTGAAATTTACAAAACTGTTTTTCTCCTTTTCCAATAAATACCAATTTTCAAGAAATGAGAAAAACTGGTGGACCTAAATACAACTGAATCTAATGTGTTAATTTGAAGATTCTTGTTTTCTTTCTTTACTTTTTTGGGGGTGCTGGTAACTGTGTCTTGAACTCGGGGCCTGGGTACTGTTTCTTAGCAGTTTCTTTGATCTGGTTTACTTCACTTAATATGATTTTTTTCTAAGTTCTTCCATTTCCTTACAAATGGCCTGTGCTGTCATTCTTTCTTGTGGAAGCATAGAATTCCATTGTGTATATATACCACATTTTCTTGATCCATTCATCTACTGAGGGGCATTTGGGTTGGTTCCATATCTTAAAATATATTTTGAACTAAAAAAATTAAATCTCCCAAAAACAAATCCTCAAAGAAACAACAGCCCATTAATAAGTGGCCTAAAGCCTTTAAAGAGAAACTTCTCTTAAGAGGAAATAAAAATGGCCAATAGACACATGAAGAAATGTCCAACATCCCTGGCCATGAAAGAAATGCAAATCAAAACAGCATTGAGATTCTGTCTCACCCCAGTTAAAATGACTATAATCAAGAAATCTAATAACAACAGATCCTGGCAGGGATGTGGCCAAAAGAGAATGCTACTACACTGTTGGTGGGAATGTAAACTCGTTCAACCACTCTGGAAAGTAGTATGGAGTTTCCTCAAAAGACTCCTCATAGAGTTCCCCAATGACCCAGTAATCCCACTTCTGGGCATTTAACCAAATGACCACCAACAAGGACATATTAAAGCTACCAGCACAACTATGTTTATTACAGCATTACTACTACTACTACTACTATTATTTTGCATGTCCTGGGGCTTGAACTTAGGGCCTGGGCACTGTCCCTAAGCTTCTTTTGCTCAAGACTAGTACTCTACCACTTGAACCAAAGTGCCACTTCCAGCTTTTTCTGAGTAGTTTGCTGGAAATAAGAGTCTTACAAACTTTTCTGCCCTGACTGGCTCAAACTGTGATCCTCAAACCTCAACCTCCTGAATACCTAGGATTACAGGCATGAGCCACTAGCACTTAGATAATTCAGATACTTTAAAAAGTGTCTAGTGGATGCCAGTGGCTCACACATTGTAATTTTAGTGACTCAGGAAGCTGAGATTTGAAGATCCTAGTTTTAAGCCAGCTTGGGCAAAAAACAAATCCACGAGACGTTTCTCCAGCAAAAATCAGAAGTGGCTCAAGTGGTAGAGCACCATCCTTGAGTGGAGAAGCCAAGAGAGAGCGTAAGGCCAAGTTCAAGCCACAGTTTGTCTGTCTGTCTCTCTCTCTCTTTCCCTCTCCCTCTCCTTTCCCCTCCCTCTCTTTCTCTCTCCCCTCTGCCATCTCCACACACACACACAAACATCAGTCAGTCACATTTTCCATGTACCAGTTAAATGTCCTACAGAAGGGACACCGAACCACAGAACACAAAGAGCTTGAACAGTGTGTGAGTTCCCATGAGATTCAGTATCTAACTCATTCACTTTAATTAGATGTGTTCTCATGCCCCATATTAATGCCTACACATTCCCTACAATGTATACGTGCTAGTTAACATGTATTATGGAAAATAAAAAATTTTAAAATCCTAGAAGTAAATGTACCATATATGTGCAATCTTTTCTTCTTTGATTTTCTTGCTTTAACAGGAAGGGCTTTACTTTATGTTTCATTTTTGTTTCTTGTTTTTTTTTGTCATAATGGTTAAGGTTGGTTTTTAAATTTAAATTTTATTTTCTTGTAAAGATGCTGTACAGAGAGGTTACAGTTACATTAGTAAGTTCATGAGTACAGTCTTGGCATTGTTACCCCCTCCTTTGTTTTTCTCCCACTATTCTTTCCCTCCCCTGTCTCTCTACTCCGCAAAGTTATAAGGCTCTTTTCCAACATAGTCTCTTGTGAGTACCATTGTTGCAATGGGTCATCCTGCTTTTAAGGGAAACTGCAGTGGCAGGCATGTGTTAGATGCAGCCAGCTCCCTTCACAGACCTGTGCAGAGACTGAGCGTGCCCTGGGTATCTGGATCTACCGAATACTGGGTTAAGAAAAAAGTAGATCTATTCCAAATATATTGTTTCTGTGAGTTAAACTTTTTGGTTTGTTTTGAGAAAAAGTCTTGCGCCGTGGGCCTTGAACTCCTGATCCTATTGCCTCAGCCTTCTCAGTGCTGACATTATAGTTGTATCTCAGCATGCAGACATTTTCTTCTGAGAAGTAGCCTATGTAATGGAATACCTGCCTAGCAAGCAAAAGACCCCAGTTGCATCCTCAACCCAAACTATTTTTTTCTGCATTCAAGTTTTAAACTAAATATCCCTTGTTTGCTTTATAAAGACTATTTCACTTTTCTCTTTTATTTTGACTTAAAATGTTATGATTCAAGATAATCATCCCATATAATGATTTAACATGGATTATCGATTACATTTTGCTTCAGGTATTACCAGTACTAGAAATAAATGTGCCAGAATGTTAGAATTTCTAAAGCATCTTAATAAGAGGTTGCTAGTCAGAGATAAAAAAATAATCATCAGATAATTTCCTAAGGAAAGCTCAGTAACAAGTTTAAAGATAGTTAAATAGCTTTAGCTGTACATACTCTTGATTTCTTCTATAGAATTTTAAAATATAATACATGTGTTACTGTTACTTATCACTGATCTAACAGTGGCTTACATAATTGAAGTTTCCAAAGGACAAAAGTTCAATTTCAGTTTCCCATGGCTTCTTCACGACCACAAAATTTTGTCTAGCTTTTTAAACTGAAGATACAGATCATAATTAGTTCATCTGGCAGTATTTATTTAGTACTTGAATACATAATATGGTTTTGCATATGCTTTTACTTCTTTAAAAATTCTTTTGAAATCTCGTAGTGGACAATTTTTGCTGCTGAGGTTTCTCACCGATCATTTACCTTTTACTGTGCTTGTTATACTTCTGTAATATTAAATGACATATCATTTGTCTATAGGACAACTGTTATTTATCCTTAAATTATGAAATGATTTTTAATTGTAAGGAAGTTCACCATTAGAATAAGTCTATAGAATGCACATTTTTAAGCTGGTATACCTGAGATTGTGTTTTTTTTTTTAATTTTTGGTTTACTTAATTTTTTAATGACCATGGTCTGAGAAAAACTTTTATTTTGGTAATGTTAGGCTCCACTGCAGACTGAGTAGGGAATATGTAGTGGGAGAGTTAGCATCTAAGGATTCTGGGTTTATATACTCCTATTAAGAAGCTATGAAAACCCCATTAGGATTCCTGACAGTCTTGCCCTTCATAGGACACTTAATAAGAAAATGAGTTCTTGTCTATTTAAGGCTTTGTATATGGTGACAGATGGCAATGACATGTGTTAAATCAATTATTTGGTACTTAAAGCAGTTACTTAGTTCTATATGAAATTGCTCCAAATTTGATTCCTTGCACTCTTAAAATATTACTTACAGATTGTATTTACAGCCTGCACATGTAGCTAAGCATCACTAGATAATTTTTCGAGTTGTCATTTTAACATTAAGCAAGCCATAGGATTCAGTGAATTTGACTGATCCATAATTCTTCTAGGAAACCCATTTGTCCAACTCATTCCATTTTGACTCCTGGAGTGAGGTACAGTGTCATGGAATATATTTTAGTGACTTTTTCTGATGGCTAACTTAAAAGATAACCACCAGTTTGTCTAGAATTTCAAATAAATGGTCTCATTTGGGATCTGTGCTCCTTAAATCGCTAGCTTTGCTAACATAGTGGCTCCAGCTTTCCATTTTGTATGTTGAATATGCCTGAAGGAGAGCAGAAATGTGTTTAGAATCATTCCACAGAGGATCTGTGAAAGTAGTCTGCACTTTGTATCTCTGTGTGTATTTCATGTTGGAATTCTTTTTCTGATTTTAACTGCAAAATATTCTTTTTGTTGTTTTTAGGTTTTTTTTTTTAATTTTTTATTATGAAAATACTGTACAGAGGAGTTACAATTACATGGGCAAGATAATGAGTACATTTCTTATCAAGCATTGTTGCTTTCTCCTTTGTTTCCTCTTCCTATCCCTTCCCATATCCCGCCCACCCCTCCCCCCACACCAAAGTTGTAAAGTTCGTTTTTCCACATAATGACTTGTACATCTCATTGTTGCAATGGGGTCCACCTGTATCCCCATTTAAACAATTTGTTTTCTCCCTTCCCCTCAAATTATACCAACATCAAATACAGTGAAAGCAGGGGTTATATCGTGGGGGAGGGACATACAAAGCAACAAAGAAATCATCTTATAAATATGTTAGAAACAATCGCATGAAAGTAAAAAAACATTTGAATACTTATCTTGGAGTTCATTTCACCTAACATCAACATATCTGACCTTTTCTGCTTGTCTCAGACATATACTAGTTATTACAAATAAGGGAAACCATGGGGCCTATGTTTCTTTGGGACTGGCTTACTTATTTTTTCCACGTCTTTCCATTTCCTAACAAATGGGGCAATGTCATTCTTTCTGATGGAGGCATAGAATTCCATTGTGTATATATACCACATTTTCTTGATCCATTCATCTACTGAGGAGCATCTAGTTGGTTCCATATCTTAGCTATGGTAAATAATGCTATAAACATAGTTGTGCTGGTAGTATAAACTTGTTCAACCACTTTGGAAAGTAATATGGAGGTTCTTCAAAAGACTCCACGTAGAGCTCCCCTATGACCCAGCAATCCCACTTTTGGGCATTTACCCAAATGATCACAAACAAGACCATACTAAAGCTACCAGCACAACTCTATTTTTTATTATTTTGTCAGTTGTGGGTCTTAACTCTGGGCCTGCACACTGTCCCTCAGCTCTTCAGCTCAAGGCTAGCACTCCAGCCACAGTGTCACTTCTGGTTTTCTGGTGGTTAATTGGAGATAAGAGTCTCATGGACTTTCTTGCCTGGGCTGAGTTTGAACCATGATCCTCAGTAGCTAGGATTACAGGTGTGAGCCACCGGCACCCAGCTTGCGAAATATATTTATATATTTAATTTCTGATTGTATTAACAAATTCAAAATGAGACAGTAAGGAATTTGTAATAATGAGAAGTTTATGAACTAGGGGCATACCTCGAGTGGCAGAGTGACTGCCTACCAAGTAAGGGTTCCATGAAGTAGTTTGTTTTTCCAATGTTAGGGTTGTAACATGAGCAAAAAGGGACAAGGCCATTGTCTTTACCCTCTTGGAGAAGAGTTGGAGAGGAGATAAATAAATGAGAGTCTAATGTTTAGGAGATGGTAATTGTTAGGGAGGAAAGTCAAATATGGAGAAAAATGTGAGAAATAGAATAAGAAAAAAAGATTACCAAATTTCTCCTCTCACCTTGTGGAGCTTAGGAAATGAAATCCAAATGTCAGCAAGGCCAGGCTCCTTCTGACAGCTCTGAGAGAGAATCTTCCTTGCTACGTTCTAGATTGTGATGATAGCTGGCAATTCATAGCATTCTTTGCCTTGTGTTTTTATCTGTTCAATATCTGCCTTGTTACATACATGTTGTTATTTCATGTGGGTGGGGTGAGAATGAGCTCCTTTTGGCCTAGAAGTTCATTCCTCTTATTTTCTACCTGATCTCATTTTATTGGAAGCATTAACAACATTCACATTGCTTGAAAATTTCTTCAGCAAATATCTAAGCTTATTTCTGTAAATTGTGCCTTCCATCTAACAGTCGAAGGTAATTTAACCAATTGTTTGTGACTTATCACAAATATCGCCTTTCTTGCAGTGTGTAAGAACCTGTTTTTCATATCCTTTTGGCCTCATTGGAAGTATTGATCAGTGTTAAATTATCTACTATTATATATATGTAAATATATACATGTGTGTATATATTTTGTACATATGTATGCATACACATATAAATGTATATACATATGTTATCAGAATGCCCCAAAAGTTATATAAATAAAAACTTTCTTGCTGTCCTCTATTAGCTGAGCTCATATCAGAAGCAACTTTAATATTTAAATTTCTACTAACTTTTTCTTTTCAAGATACTTTAGATTTTTTTTTCCTGTAAATTACTTTAAGATTTCATCAGTTTCTACTTTCTACTTAATTCCAAAGCTAAAAAATTCACAGTTTTAGATATTTGTTACAAGAACAACTGTCTCTTGGTATTATTATCTCTATCAGTCAGTATTCTCCTGAGAAACGGAACAATAGGGCTAAGTTATTTGAAGAATAGCATATTTTACTGAACAGTTTCTGGCAACACCAAAATGCAAACTGCCTAAATTGTGACAGAAGTAGCCAATGCTAAGTGATTGTACTCAGAGTTGGTTTATAGGGCAGTACTGCTCTGTAGGGAAAAATTATTTTTTGCCAGGAAACTAAATAGGGACTATTTTAATTAGTGCCCCTTTAGATAAATGAAGCCTTTGAAATGCACCAGTTTCACATGTTGTTTCCATTATATAAGTGGTTATTTCTAGGTTGCATAATGTAGTCTATGCAAATTTAAACTTTTGCTTTACTTTATAAACTCTTGCTGGGAGACAGAGGAAAAGGCCATTGCCATTCTAAGAGTGAGTTACACACTGTATACTAACATAAAATAGTTCATTATTATCTATTATCTATTATCATTATTATCTATTAAATGAAAGTATTTTTACTCCATATTTCAAAGCCATATTTCAATTTCTTTTTTCCCCCAGTTCCATGGTTTTATTTAATAATCTAAGCAAATCCTTTCTGGATTTGATTTGCTTCACCTGCACTATCTTACCTGGAATTGTTTCTCCTTTACTTTCTTATTGGCTCTGAGAAAAGTCATTTCTCCGTAGGAGAAGGGCAGCCATGTCCTTGCTTGTAATGTTCCATGACTGGCAAGTTGAATATGTTCTCTGTGATCCCTGCATTCCTCATGATTCATGTGACTCTCAGTGTTTACAAGTCGTGTAGTCCATTAATTTATGTTTGCTCTAATGTTCTAACTGTTTTCAGATGTTAATGCATGACTTACATGACTTATTTTTAGAATCATTTTGTTCTTGCTTTAGAGATACCTTCCTTGCAATTAAAAAAAGAGATTTTTAAAAAAAGAGAGTTTTTTCTTCCTTTGAGAATCTGTGGGTGACATTGTTTTCTTCCTACTAAAGACTTTCCTTCTTCCTTCCCATCTTTCCCCTGTTCTTGGAACTTTCTTTTCTTTTTTTTTTTTTTTTTTTTAGCATGACAGATCAGAGCTTGTTTGTTGTGCTTACAGGATGTTTGATGTGGGAGGTCAGAGGTCTGAGCGGAAGAAGTGGATCCACTGTTTTGAGGGGGTGACTGCGATCATCTTCTGTGTGGCACTGAGCGACTATGACCTGGTTCTAGCCGAAGATGAAGAAATGGCAAGTAGAACCACTTTGAAGGGTTGAGAGTGAAATAGGAAGAGTTGGGGATGCCGCCAAGAACTTTTCTGAGAAAAATTCTTGAGCAATTTTTGCTTATGCCTGAATTATATGAAAGTTCAGGCTCTTTCCTTGAGTTTTTTTTTTGTTTGTGTTACGAAAGAGAAGTATGGCTGAAAAAGCATAGAGACATCAGACATATCTTGAGGAAAAGACTGAGACTCAAGCTCATCTCAGCACTGCATACTTAATTGTGAATTTCCTGTATCTAGACCTTACTTGCTGAATGAAAATCAAGTTAGTTTACAGTCGTCCAAGGCTCCTTTCTTTTGTTATTTCTGCCTGTATAGCAATCTTTGATATCTATTACACTCTGCTACTTTCATGTCATTTTCAGATGTGCCTCAGGATTTCATTAATTTTAAATGCAAATTATAGCTCTTGCATTTGCAATCTTTGTTGTTGTTGTTGGTGGTGGTGGTTGTGGAGCTTGAACTCTGGGCCTGGGTGCTGTTGCTGAGCACTTTCACTCAAGGCTAGTACTCTACCACTTGAGCCACAGTGCCCCTTGTGGTTTTCTTGTGGTTAATTGGAGATAAGAGTCTCACCGATGGGCTGGGAAGGTGGCTCAGTGGTAGAGCGCTTGTCTTGCATGCCTGGGGCCCTGGGTTCGATTCCTCAGCACCACATAAGCAAAAAGAAAAAAGCCGGAAGTGGCGCTGTAGCTCAGGTGGTAGAGCGCTAGCCTTGAGCTGAAGAGCTGAGGGACAGCGCCCAGGCCCAGAGTTCAGGCCCCACGACCAACCAAAAAAAAGAGTCTCACCGACTTTCCTGCCCTGGCTAGCTTAGAACTGCAATCCATAGATCTCAGCATCCTGAGTAGCTGGGATTACAGGCAGGAGCCACTGGCACCCAGCTTGCAGTGAATTTTTCAATTGAAATAAAAAAGAAGTAGAAATGTCAGTTGTGTATTTTTTAACAAGTATCTCTATTTCAGTGCATTAGGTCTAATAATACAACACTGAATGAATTTCAGAACTGTAAAATATATCAGGGCCCTTGAGCAGTTAGTGGAATTGTAAGGAACAGAAATTGTAAGTCGCTTCCCTAAGATGTACAGTGTTGGAATCACTAATTTCACTTGTTCAGTGTATCTATGTGTAAAATAAAATAGAGTGACCTGTGCAACAGTGACATTCGTCTTCAAATATCCATGCTTGGGTAGTCCTCGGCCCCAAAACATTGTGCATCAGGAACTTGCCAGGCGCAGCACATGCCCCATAGCGGGCAGTGAGTAAGGTATGACGAGTGTGAACAGCACTGAGGGGTGATGGCGGAGCCTCGTCTCCCTGCAATCAAAGTGGGCATTTTCTAAAATGAAAAAAAAAAGTGTTCTTTGTGGCAGAGGACTGATTCTGGAGGTGCCAGCATAGCATATCTACCAACCACCTGGAGAACCTAGTTAGAGGGGGCCTACTGGTGGTGAGCTTAGGCAAGGAATTTGCTCATTTTGGTCACACCAGGGAAAAAGAAGGCAATCAGCCTCCTAAGTCTGAACTTAAGGTTACTCAGAAGAGATCTAGGATTAGATCAACAAGGACCAAAGTTAGGGAAGGGATGACATTGTCCAAAAAGAAATGTACTCTCTCCCTAACTTATGTAACTGTAACCCCTCTGTACATCATCTTTATAATAACAATAAAAAAATTTAAAAAGGGCCAGAAATGTGCATATTCAAGGAATCTTGTTCATTGCTGGCTCCCAGGCTGTCCAGGAGTAATTCTTCCCAGGGAGGGTTCTCTTCAGTTCTGCCATAGGATATAAGCAAACAGAGTCCACTTTTCTTCACATAAGCTGGATAGAAAGACATGCAGTTAATCAGGAAAACAATAGGAGTTAATTAGGGCAGCAATGAAGTCCTTCTTTAGAATATTATTTGTATTTCCACTGCATTCTACCTTCTTGCAACATGTATTTTCAAAATATTCCTCAAAGTCATTTCCCTTAAATGAAAACTTGTTTTTATTATCTATTACAGAATCGAATGCATGAAAGCATGAAATTGTTTGACAGCATATGTAACAACAAATGGTTTACAGATACATCTATTATACTCTTTCTCAACAAGAAGGATCTCTTTGAAGAAAAAATCAAAAAGAGCCCTCTCACTATATGCTATCCAGAATATGCAGGTATTTTTATCTTTTTTGAATAACTTATAAATTCATATATTTCTAAGTGAAACTTTCCCTAAGGCCAGATTTTTTTGTTTCAGTCTTTGAATTTAGGGATTCTTATACCTTGAAGGGATAGTACTTATCCAGTTGTTCTTTAGCAGATAGTTCATTAAGACACTGGTGGAATTATGGAATATATCATGCTCATTTTGTGGAAGAAGCTACTAGATCCTTTCCAGTAATGACTCCAAGTCTTTATGGGTGTCTGGTGGTGCATTGCCAAATAAGACATGTCTCTCCTCACTGTCTAATCTCAGAGACAGACCTACTAGTAAACAGACAACAAACAGCAGTAGCAATGTATTACCAAGATGGAATGTGCATGAACACTAATGTTCAGGAAGAAGGAATTGTGAGGCAGCTAATTCTCCTGTCAGGGAAGGATTTAGAAGAAATCTAAGCTTTGAAATGAATGCTAGCAGTGCTTTTCTTTTCCTGTGGTGGAAAATGTACCGCAGTGAGGAAAACTGACTTGATGTACAGTCATAGCTTTTGAAATTAGCTCTTTGCTCCTGAACCAAGGCAGTTGATGTGTCTTAAGTTTCTATAGCCCATTTATAAAGTCAGGAATTGGGCTATGTTCGCTCAGTTCTTTCACGCACCTTCCTCTACCCCAGGATGCTATTGAAAATGAGTACTGGGAACTTCGTGTTTTGGGAACAGAACTACTTCACACACAGACACACACAGACACACAGACACAGACACACACAGACACACACACACACACACACACACACACACACAGTCTTTCACCACAGTGACTCAGCTTTCATCTGTTTTACGCATTAGGTTTCTGAATAAGATTTTATTTTAGTGAAGAGATTTCTGTGCCTTCTTTTTTTAAGGAACAGTATGAGTACCGCTACTTTGTATAACCTCCAAATCTAAATATTCTGAAGAGAGAATTTACCCTTATCCCATCCTTCCTGTTCAAAAAAGAAAAAAAAACACAACTGTTTCAAGACTTCATCTCATGATTTGTGTCGTAAATGCTGATAAACAGCATTTCAGTCTGTTCTGCTGACTTGTACCATGGGTCCTGACTGCCCCTTCTCAGTCAGGTGAGAGCCAGCTCACATAGCCCCACTTACACAGGTGAGAATATGAATTCACTAAAGCCACAGTCCAGTTCCAGACCCATGTCAATTGTACCCACACCATTACAACTCAACTACCATAATTATATGCCCCTTAAAACCCAAAGGGAAACAATTCTTTGATAAAACATGCTACCATGATTTTATCCCTTTTTATATGCTGTGAAATTATACTTTGGTTCAAAATAATTTCATACTGTCATTCCCTTGCAAACTTTTTGCTTTCTTGTTGAAAATCATACTACACAAAGTCACCTTCAGGAATATTTTAGTGCTCCTTAGGAATAAAAATCACTTTCAGTTCAAACTCCAAGATTGCATTTATCCAGAATCAAAGTGGATCAGCTTCTCCTCTGTCTGGGTTTCTTTATCATTTTTTTTATGATGAAGTAGCCATTTATGTGATACTTCATAATACCAGAGTTTCCAAATGAATCCACAAATCTTGTGTAGCTAGGGATTTCAGAAAGCCAAGACTGTACTTGTTAACCCTGCCCTTGCCAGGTGTGTAAGGTTAACAGTCTTCACTTATACTATCAAGTTAGTGAACATCTCTGGTCTTAAGAGTCTTTGCAGAGAAAAAAATAATTCTTTCGCATCCCCTATGTTACAACTGTAATTTAAATTCTGCCCTACCTGGAACAGGTAATTCAGTTCCCTTCTCTTTCAACTTGCAGCTCTCAATTCTTAATTTTTTTCTGTCACTGGAATTTGAACTCAATGTCTTGCTCCTCTTATGCAAGAACTCTACACCATCAGACGCGTCTCCAGGTCTTTGTTTTTCAGGTTAATTTTTATGCAGAGTCTCCTGTGTTCTGGCCCAGGCCAGCCCCAGACTATCATGCCCCCTGCCCACATCCTTCCCCAGCAGCTTGGGTTAAGGAATACACTGTCATACCCTGCTTGTTCTGTTGAGATGGGGGTATCACTAACTTTTGCCCCAGGCTGGCATGGCATCCCTATTCTCCCCTTCTCGGCTTCTTTAGTATCTGGGATTACAGGTATGAGCCACAGTACACTGAAGATATTCGTTCTGTGGCTATATCCAATGGCTCTATCTTTGGCTCTACCAAAACTTTGCAATCCCGAATCCCTTGGTTGGATTAACCCCTACCACTGCTACTGTACAATTCCTCCTTTTTACTATGTATTTCCATTTCACCCAATCCCATAGACACTCTTATCCTCCATAGTCAAACTCATTCTCACTGTATTAAATCCTGAGTTTCTCTCTGGAGTCAGGCTACCAGCTGCCTAATGACTTTATAGCATGGAAAATTCAAGCAAAATGAATACTGTGTTTATTCCTCAGATCTTTCCTTCTTTGTCTTTTGATTGTATTATCTGTTCAGTGGTCCATTATCAATTGTGGTTTTATTTATACTGATCTTTATTCTGGACAGTTTCATCACATGTTAGAAAATATTATACACAAACACCTCGACACACACTTTGCTATTGTTTTCTTAAGGTTGTAAATTAGATTGAATAATGTGCTCATTAGTTTGTTCATATATCTAGTAGCTCTTGGGGTATAATAATTTGCAAGCTCCCTAGCAAATGTGTGTGTGTGTGTGTGTGTGTGTGTGTGTGTGTGTGTGTGTGTGTGTCTGTGTGTGTGTGTGTCTGTGTCTGTGTATCTATAGATATATGTTTCCACCTATCTACAGATAAATAGCAAGTGAGCTATTATTTCTAAAATATATCCATAATGCATGCATACATACACATATACCTGTATAAATAGAGGTAGAGGCAGACCGTACTGGAATTTGAACGCAGAGCCTCACTATGGGTCATCTTGCTTTCTCAGCTGATGCCCTACCAGTTGAACCACTCCAGCAGTCCAGATTTTGGTTGGTTATTTTGGAAATGTAGTCTCATGGTTTCTACTGCCTAATAAGTTGGCTTCAAACCAGAATCCTCAGGATCTCAGCCTCCTGAGTAGCTAGGATTACAGAAGTGATCTAGCAGAACCTAGTTCTCAATGCATATTTTAAATTAAGAGATTATGAGTTAATAAAATAAAACTTAATTTGTAAAACAATATGATTATAGGCTGGCAATATAAAGTATGAAAATATAAACTTTTTCAAAGCCTATAATTTTATTACTTTTTCTTCATTCATAATGAGTTCCATAATTGATGCAGTCATAAAGCACATTAAACATAATGTTCCGATGGGCTTCTGTCCTATTGCATTTTTGCTTTGGCATTACAGATAATGTGTGAGATTTAACAGGAGATAGGAGGACTATGGGATGTGGTCAGTAATGGAGAATTACAAAAACTGAGGTGACATGCTCTGTAGTTCGTAGGAGGTTTGAAAAGACAGAGAGCCCATCTGGATCCAATTTTGGACAGATGTAAAAGCGAGTCAGAGATTCCAGCTGGTGCAGGTCAGTGGGCAGGAAATGGTGAGAACGTATGACAGTTAGCCTGTCATATCCTTTTACATGCAGCGACCCCAACACATTCCACAGCAGGCTGGCTAGCAGAGGACCTGGAAAGCAGATAAATAATTTTGCTTTACTTTACAAAAGAAGGGCTTAAACAACTTTACTTTTTTTCAAATGCCCATTTTATTGAATCATTTAATACCATACAGTAATATATTATATCATTATCATTGTATCTATACAATATATATTATACTCAATATATACACACTCAAGTGTGAAACATTGAAATTTTAAAAGGAAACAAACAAAAAATGTAAACAATATCTACCATCCAGATCAAGAGACAGGACATTTCAGGTTATTTCCTGAAGTAGACTGTAGGGCTACCACTAACATTTTTTCTATGTCTTCTAGAAAACATAAAGCATGCACATCTATCAAGTGTACACCTAAAAACTGAATTTCTGGGTCAGAATCACAGTTGTGTCTGTGTATCTTTAAATACTGCCAGTTTCTGACATGTTCTAGCTCAGAGGAAGTCAGTAGTAGTTTCCTGAGTGGCAAGAATATCCAGTTCACTGTTTCATAACCTCATAGCCTTAAGTCACATGGTCTACCCTTGTCCATTTTTTTAAATGAAAGCAATGCTATTAATATGTAAATAGGAAAACAAATAATAATGATTCTCTAGATGCAACCAGCATTGCTGATGGACCACTAAGCTAGACATCTAGTAGCTGCATATACAGTGATGTATAGTCTACGAAGTGGCATGTGTGCAACTGAGTTCGGTGTTTCAAGGTCCATCTTGCTCAGTGGTATTTTTAAATTTTGCCGTTGCTTCTTTCCCTTCCCCATCCCAGGATCCAACACCTATGAAGAGGCAGCAGCATATATTCTTTATCAGTTTGAAGACCTCAATAAAAGAAAGGACACAAAGGAAATATACACCCACTTCACATGTGCCACAGATACCAAGAATGTGCAGTTTGTTTTTGATGCTGTAACAGATGTCATCATAAAAAATAATCTAAAAGATTGTGGTCTCTTTTAAGTTTTGCAGATAGTGATGAAACCCGTTTTCAAGCCAAATGAGTACTTATATATGGATCTCTCTAGACTAGAGTCTTGCAGTGACACAGAGTATAGTATACAACCAATGCATCTGAACCTGACCAAAGTTGTTCTGTTTTGTGTGTTTAACTGAAAACAATTCAGGGACCTTTTTAGCGGTAATAAAAATGGTCCTAGAGAGAAGGTCATTGTTAAAGCTGGGCTCTAGTATATTGATGATTTCTGTGTAAGTGTAAATATGCAGATGTATGTATAATGTATTTATAACTTTAATTTTCCATATGAGTTTTAGGAGTGGCAACCTTTAATTCTAGTATGATGGCTTTGGAAATAACATAAATATTAAGTACCTTGTACCAAATGACAGATGATTACTGAGTTTTCCAGTTTTAAAAAGCTTTATTTATGTTCCTGTTCTGTAAATTTTTAGGTGTAGTAATTAATACTAGGAAATGTCATAGCCTGTATGTATACTTGTATTCATAAAAATGTTATTTGTACAAACATTGCACAGACTATTTTAATAACATGATTTGTTCTTTGAATTTAATGTGTTTTATTGAAATGTTCTTAAAGAGGATGAGTATACCTGTCTTTTAGTCAATTATTTAAGCATTATGAGCATTTTAATTATTGTTTTTCTTTTAAAGAGTGCATGCTCCTCTGTAGGTTTGAAAAATGAAAATTTTAGATTTTTTTGAGGATATACTATCTTAGATCACCAATTCTTAATTTTTATTCATTTTGTTGCTTTCACTTTGAATTTTAATATCTGGATGGTATTCATGCATTTCCATAAAGGTAATGCCTGATTAATTTTATACACTTTAAACAATTGCATTTTTATTTAAAACTAAGTTTTAGGTGGACATTGAGAGCATTTTTGTGGGCAAAATTTTTTAGCATAATGAATTTTGAGACATTCATTTGTGTATTTCCTTTGGGAAATCCCTTAGTACTTCCTGTATATGAGAATTCCTTATTTGGAAAGTATGGAGAAAGATCTTTGAATTCTCTATTGCTGATATTATGCAAGCTTTAAATTCATATGTGTAACAAATTTCACACTGTCAAATTACTTTTTACTCTAATTAAATTTACTCCACTTGCTTAAATGTGTATTTCTTTATGCTATTATTCCTGAGAATTATATGGACAATTGCATTTAGAAAATGAGTAAAAGTATTTAACTAAAGCAGTGATTAGATGTATGCTCTAGTAAGTATTACATATCAGCTAGATATTAAAACTTGGTAGAATCATTTTTCTTTTCATTATTTACAGTGTGTCTTTGTGACCTTATTTGGGTAAAATGAACAGCATTCCCTGCCCATTTCCTGATTTTTTTTAACTCATCCTGAAATCAGTCTTTCAGTAAACTATGCTAGTAAGTAGTGACTAAATTTGGTTATGTGTTGTCATTTTGTTTAAAAACAAGTATGTTTGTTGAAGTATGTGCCTATATGTGTATCTGGATAACAATGAGGTACTTTCATATTGGTTTCATTTGAGGGATTTGTTTCCTTGTAAAGAAATTCCAAGTTATCAAAATTCCTTAAGTGTTAGCTTAGATTTTTTTATGTGCCTTTCATGAAAGCTATGTTTCCATTCATTTTACTGATGGAAGACCTGTAAGATCCACATTGTGTTATTGTGTATGAAATTTAACTATAATGCATAAATTTGAATGATGAGAAATAAGGTTTAAAAGCCACAAAGAAGCACATATTTGTGACCATCATTGGATTCCTCAACTCTATTATGTGTAATTGTGTTACTAACAAATCCTAATAAATTTAAATTTTTAAAATTTTACAAACCTGTTTACTCAACCATTTTGCATTCAAATTTTAAGTATTGATATAGTGTATCTTTGTTTCTTCTTCCACAATGACCTATTATTTTACAGTTGTATCTGTTTCAAAAGCTTGAGATTCCCTTGCCTGGGTTTTCTCCTGCCCTTCTTGCCCAAAATATGAGACCATATTTTCAATCATGTTGCCTAACTCCACTTCTAAGAACTCATCCTACTTTAGCTCAGTATGCCCCAAACCAAATCCATCCATCATTCTCTCAGCAACCAAGTCTCGCTTTTAACATTGCCATTGTAGTGACAGCTGTGGTTTGGGTGTTGAATATCTCTCGAAGGTCCCTATGTTAGAGATGTGGGCCCAGGGTGGGTTGGGAAGTGGTAGAGTCTTTGTGAGATGGGTCCATGTGGAGTGTATGGAACTTTGGTGTCTTCCTCTTAACTTAATATATAAGTGTTTTTACTCTGCTTCATGCCCCCCCACTTTGGCCACAGCATTAACACAATGAAGCCAGTCAATCATGGCCTGAAATCCACACCTGAGTCAAAACCAACTTTTTCTGCTGATAGGATCATTCTTTCTGGGATGTTGTTACAGTAACAGAAAGCTGGCTAACAAAACTATGTAAGTGACAACCTTATTTCTCTTTCCATGGGGAACTGTTGAAGCATATAGACCTCTTGGTATCCTTTGTCTATCTCTGTTTACTTACAAATCTGCTTTTCCAAAGCCACACCTGTTTGATGGAGATGTTTTTGGTGGTTTTTAATTAGTATTTCTGTTTTCTATTTACATGACATCTTGAATTCAAGTCTACTGAACTTCCACTTGACATAGTAATTAATTAACCTTCCCCTTAAGTTTTGTGTTTTGCATCTTGCACTTAGCTCAGTTATCCTCATTTGGATAACATTGTTGCCTTCTATGCTGTGACCTGCATTGGCTCATGATTTATCAGTAAATTATTAACTGAACTTCCACTTGACATAGTAATTAATTAACCTTCCCCTTAAGTTTTGTGTTTTGCATCTTGCACTTAGCTCAGTTATCCTCATTTGGATAACATTGTTGCCTTCTATGCTGTGACCTGCATTGGCTCATGATTTATCAGTAAATTATTAACTGAGCCTTCATTCAGAGCTCTGGTTTTCCTCTCAGCATTATACTATACTGTTTATCATTCTTTGAAATAATGCCTGGAATATAAAACATCTTCATTTGTGTGTGTTTTTTATTAGCACTATTATTTGTGAGATTTCTTTTAGATTCCACTGTAACTATTCTTCAATCTGCTCTTTTGAGAACTGCCAATAGTGTTTTTTACTTCCTGTCTTTAGGCTCAAGGCCTAACTAGCTAATTCAATCATGTTCAATCTCTTACTGAAAAAGTACTGAATCAATAAAATACTTTTTTTTGTTGTTTTTTACTGAATTCTGGCAATATCTATGAGATAAGTGAATCTCAAAGATTCCTTAAAGTTAATTTGATGATGGCCAAATAAAAGTTTCAGATCAGAAAGTTATGGTTTTATGTCAAAGGACCCCAAAGAATGCTACCTTGTTGCTAGAAATTTATTAAGTGCCTCTACCTACTCATTTACCCCATCTAGTCTCTTTTGAATAATGCTACTTCTTAAAAGTAAAAAGATAATACTGCTTAAGTTTTTCAGGGAAGCTACCTATGCTATCCTTGCATCAACTGGATTTGAAACTACTTAAGAAACAGTTCTATGCTTTTTTTTTTTTTTTTTTTTTTGTCAGTCATGGGGCTTGAACTCGGCCTAAGCGCTGTCCCTCAGCTCTTCAGCTCATGGCTAGCACTCTACCACTTGAACCACAGTGCCCACTTCCAGTTTTCTGGTGATTTATTGGAGCTAAGAGTTTCATGGCTTTTCCTACCCCGGCTCGCTTTGAACAGCAATTCTCAGATCCCAGTCACCTGAGTAGGATTACAGGTATGAGCCACCGAGCCACTGGCACCTGGCTTCTGTGCATTTTTAAATCTCTTATTTTATCTACAGAACCACACCTGGTCCCTTGGGAGATGAATTTATTTAATAATGGTCATTTACAAATGGTCATTGTTGGGTGAATTTAAAGAAAAGCGAAATGAGATGGTGAAAGTTCTGTATACCAGCATCCAATATGGATCTAAGCTCTGATACATTTCTAATTGATTGATTAACTTGAGGCAAGTTATTTAATCTCACTCTGCCTTTTTTTATCACCTGGAAAAAATGTGACCCTAATAGACTGCAAACAGTTGTCAATCTTAAGTTCACAGTGCATGCTGAGCACTTCCAAGGGAACATAAAATAAGTTTTTCTGTGATCTAGTTATAAAGAATATATCTTTAAAATTGTAACTCCTGTTGAATAGTTATGGGCATGAACTTTGGATGACAGATCTCAAAACAAAATAACTATCATAATTCATCTTGATAGTTAAAACAGTTTATATTGATGCCAGAAAATATGAATGATAGAAAACATGGATCAACTTTTGGGTATTTCTGTGTCATTTATAGTCTAGCCAAAACCATGACAGATTTGCTATTTTAAAGTTACTTTAGGAAAAATATTCAGTTGCTTTTCAAAACACTGTCTGAAGAGTGAAAGTGCATTTATATCAAGTTTTGTATTTCACAACTCTACTGGCCAGTTTCCCAGGCATTTCTTCCAAACCAATAACTGCTTACTTTGCCATTTGTCATGATTTCTTTTATTTAGATGATTTTTTTTAGTTACATTAAAAGTTATGAAAACACATTTCACCAAATCTAGAGACACACATATATGCACACAGTAATTGGACTCAATTGTCCAGGTCAGAGTTGATGAGGTTTGATCCAGAACAGCACCAGTAAGTGTAATAAATCTCTGACCACCATGTACAAAATAAAGCGAAATGAAATAGTTCTAGATTCTTTGATTTTACTGCCCTTTTCATGGCATCTTCATCTATAAAGTGAAGGGAAGTTTTTACCCTCATTGTAAAGAGATAGTTCTTAAGGTCAATAGTTTTTAATGCCAATAAATCTCTTATCTATTGTAATGGATTAAAAAAGGCAATGATATGTTTTTAACAAAGCAAGCACAGAAGACAGTTCTAGGTAGGGACTAGTTACTATTTATAAATGAAGGTGTTATTCAGTTCTTGAATTTTGTAGATCACCTAAAACGGAGTATGTAGAGTAGGACTCAGAGAGCTGAGGACCTAAAGCAATTTATTTTCCCAAGCAGTCTCTATGAGGGGTGTTGTGGTTGGAATGTGTCCAACTATGATTCATGTTTTGTAAACTGAATCCACAAATCTGTGTGTTATTATATTAGGAGGCAGAGCCTATGGGGGGTAATAATGATTGAATGAAGTCACAAAGGTAGCCCCCATTAATTGAACTAGTGGTATTGTAAGAAGAGAGACTTGAATGCCAGCATTTAGACTCTCTTCATGTGTTGCCTCTTTCTATGTCTCATCAGCACTTTGATACTGGGCTTGCAGCCTGTAAACCTGAAGGAATAAATTTCCCTTGCATATCAATTTCTCATTGCCATGTACTCTGTTGGAGCAGCAGCAAACACATGGGACCTCCATTTACTTGAATTTTCTAGGTTTCTTAAATTAGATCTATAATGTGCACTTTTGTTTTCATAAAACTGACAATTTCATCATAAAGCTCATCTTCAATGCAAATCACTGTGAAGATGCTATATTACTTGCAATTATCTATTCTGCTCCTTAACTCATAACATGGAAACCACTGAATGTCACTCTGCCCTACTTTTAAAAATCAGAAAAGAGTGAAGTCAAAGATATTTCCAAACAACTCTGTTTTCATGAAATTAAATAGTTTTGACTTGTCGGGTTGTCACTTGGGAATGTGGACAGCAGCAAATCCATTATTTGTGATTTTCACAGGACTTGATTTGCAATGACATGATGTCTTGTAACATGGTTCCCTTCCTTAGATGCATGCAATTACCTTCCTTTAGGAATCCATATCTAGTAATCTTCATAATGTAATCAACTTCTAATAAATAGGTCATTTTCTCTTTTTGAGACTACCTATTTAGTAGATTACTAATTAATTAAAACTAAATATTTTTCTTCAAAATGAAACTGTTCTAAAGACTACCAACATGTTTCTTTGAAGTGAAAATGGAAAGGTTGGAGTCTATAGCATAGTGCTTTCCTCTCTGATAGACCCCTCCACTCCTCTTCACCGAAAGCATCTTGGTGAATCATTCAAAAGAAAAGCATTTGAAATGTTAGTACAGATATTCTGTCCTTTATGATGCTATAAAATGCAAAGAATATACATTTGTAATACTATATTACTGACTACTTGCCATGTGCTACATAGGCTCTTCTGAGTGCCTTATTAATAATACTTGGAGTTAGTGATCAGAACAGATATGAAGTTTCCATTTCTAGGTAAGGGGGCAAATACAAGAGATATGACTATTTTTCATAGTGTTTGCTGCCCTCGTCAGTGGCAGAGCCAAGAGTCAAATCAAGAATAAGATGTTTATTAATCATATCTTTGAAATCCAGTGGCATGAAGATTTTTCTAAGGATGCTGCATGCTATACTGCAACATACCCAAGTGTACTGCTTGAGTAGCTGTTAATAAGTACACATAATGCAGGTTAGTGTAGCTAATCAATAGCAATGGAAAGCCCTACAATAAAAAAATCAATATGTGTTATCTCTCTGTTATACAAACTCGGGAGCTGTGTGAACACAACAACCATGTGGCTTTAGAGCACTTGAAAAGGAGCTAGTCTGAATTGAGATGCACCATTTTATTGTAAAATACAAATTGTATTTCAAAGACTTAAAAAAATTACACTGAGCTGGTAAGGTATCAAAATGTACCTAGTTCTATATTGGATTAAGTGTCTTTTACTTGTAACTGTACAGTTCACATTATTAATGACTATGGAAAGCCATGTAATTACTCATGTGTGTTGTATTTATATTTCTCTAGAAAGCAGAACATTT